AATGGGGGGGGGGTGTACCCCCTCCCCCAGCACCAAACAGAAACCCGTTGGCCAAACATAAGCACCTCCGCAGGAGGCTGAGACGCCCCAGGGCCAAGTTCTGCCCCCTCCCTGCAGGTCTCATCCCCCCTGTGCCTCCTTCCTTCTTGCTCCGGGTTTAGCCTTCTCCTCCTCTGCCTCCCTGGCCCCTTCCCGGCTTTCACACGCGGCGCTCGAAGGCTCTGCCTCCTGCCCTGCTCCGAACCCCTCCACCCCAGCCGCTCCAGCGCGGCTCTCCGAGGGCGCCGCTCATGGAAAGTTGCTGCAGGAAGTGACCTCAGCGTTTTGGCAGGCCCGGCTGGGCACTGCCGTGCGCTAGGCCCGGCTGGGCGCCGCGCCAGGCTGTCCAGCACCCCCTGCGTCCCCTCTGCGGACTGGGACGGTAGACCCCGTCTCTGCCCCGCCTGCCCCCGCTCCAGGATTTCAGCCCCATTACGGGTCCCTCCTTTTCAGCCTCTGCCCCGTGGCTCTGGCTCCTGGCGCCTGCCTTTCACACACCGGCAGGGGCCCTGGCTCCCCTTCCTCTCCCACCCCCTCCCCCTGAGGACACCCGGTGCTTACAGCTGCCGTTTCCAGGCAACACTTGGCCAGATGTGGAGTGAGAAGGGTCAGGATCCCATGGAAAAGCACCAGCGCCAGCAGGGATCAAACGCAGTGCCTGCCTGTCATTATGTGCAGGGTGGGAGGAGAGGCAGTGCGGGCTAGTGGCTGCAGCGGCGGGGAGACGGGTACCCCAGGAGGCCTGAGTTCTGCTCGGGGCTCGCTGGGTGACCTTGGGCCAGTCACTTTCCTGCCTCAATTTCCCCTTGGGTACTGAGCAGCCTCTCTAGGGCACAACTGGCCTGCTGCTGAGAACAGAGGGGGCAGGGACAGGCGGCAGAGGGGAGGCTCTGGGCATTGGGCGCTGGGGGGCTGGCAGAGGTGCTAGGCGGGTTATTTCACTCGCTTTGGGCAGCTCGAGCAAAGCTTCGTGGCACCAGGTGAATATTCCCAGGCTGGTTCTCTGGCAGCATGTGGCCCGGGGCCTGTGCTCCCCCAGCCTG